TTACATAGATTTACAGACGAGGTTTTCAGTAAGAAAAAGATTAAGATTATTTAGTTCAAAAAAATATTAAAATAGATCTGAAATGCATATGAGCCTTCTGAAATCTCACAGCGTTAGAAATCTGAGCTTATACAGAAAATCTTTTAAAGGGAAATTTTTTGTAAAAATAAATGTCTTCTGTTTGTATCCCCTCCACACACTTAGGGCTTGTTCACACCAATTGCGGTGCATTCCAGAGCGGTAGTTGCTGGAACGCATTGCAATCGCTCACAAAACTTCCCCCTTCGTTCTGGGGCGGGAGGGGGACGCGATTGGACGCGTGGCAAAACATTACATATGTTCGGTCCACTGCAAACGCAAAAAATGCTGCTTGCTCTATTTTTGCGTTGGCAGTGGAACGGAACGCAGGCGATGTTTTGCCACGCGTCCGATCACACTGCGGGTGGGGGGGCGTGACTGCGGTGCCATTGACTTCAATGCACCGACCGGCCCCAGAACGAAGGGGGAAGTTTTGTGAGCCATTGCGGTGCGTTCCAGCAGCTACCGCTCTGGAACGCACCGCAATTGATGTGAACAAGCCCTAAGACTCACCATACACGTTACAATCTAATAGCACAGACATATGGTAGCTGCCACTGTTGACTTGTTTTTACGGAGCATGTTCCAGGGCTGTCATTTCCTTATGAGAAACTGAACCAACACAACACATGACAACTTCGAAACCCTGCAACTTTTAAAAATTGCTCAGAAATGGCAACTCTCATATATCTATCCTCATAAGTTATCACTTATCACATTGATCTGTACATTTCAGACGTCCCATACATTTAATTCATTGATTCTTAGGGGAGAACATTGTACTTTCATAGTTAGATATCAGTCAATGAGGGGAGAGCTGCACTGTGCTATTGTCAGAAGGGGATCTCATAGTAATAGAGTTTTAACATGAAAATCCCTCCTGATCTCCTGCAAAGTAGCCACAGCCTCAGAGGTGCTTTTCATGTAGTGTATGCAGGGTAAGTACACTATATGACCAAATGTGTGTGGACACCTGACCATCATACCTATATGAGCATGTTGGATATCTCATTCCAATGAGTGTCTTCCCAGAAGAGTGGAGGCTGCTATAGCCGCATGGGTGGGGCCAACTCCAGACTACTTCTCATGGTTTTGAAATGGGATACCCAACAAACTCATATGTGTGTTGTTCAGGTAGTCACAAACTTTTGGCCATATAGTGTAACTGACACTTGCTGGTATTTATTACCCATCACAAAGATCTCAATACCCCCCGAATAATGATTTTATCTTTCCTTCCCAGATGATCAGGCATCATCCAGTGCCAGTATCTACCTCCTGGACTGAGATGCTGGCCCAGGGATGATGCAATTATGTAAATCTTGGGGCATGCACAGCAGACTATGTTCTGGACTAAGTATATCTCACACAGATCAGCCTCCTTTTGCTACCTCTGACCTTGGGATATATCAGAAAGATACATGGCTTTAAGAGACTCAGTAGGTGATCACTGGGGAAGAAGAGACTGAGGAAATGCCTTCCTCTTGCCTGAAGCAGAATGACATGGCTTCTCTCTGACCTCTGCACATTCTCTTGGCTGGAGGTGTATACTGTAACATGTTAGTAATTTATTCACGCAGGCTTGTAAAGTTACTGACAGGTCTGCATTAAGGACAAATTTGTGCAGAAGAGATTTTAGTTACTTATAGAAAACTATGAACTTTCCTATTTGGTCATTAAATGGCCAACCTAACAATCGGGCAAAACCATTTTGCATAATTCTGTGTCAGCGATCACATAACTACAAATACAGATTCAGTCCATCTTTAGCTTCTATGGCAAAGAAAATCAGCTAAAATAATTTTTTGGGTACATAAGAATGCTGAAATAAATAAATATATATTAAAACTTATAATTTTTCAGAACAATTAAGAGAATTCGCTGAATATTATTAAAAATATTAAACTAATAAAATTCAAAAACAATTGGTATTTTACCTGTGAGCCCAGTTTACCTGAGAAAGGATTTATTTTATGCTACCTCAGCATAAGCTGCCACTGTGTCTGTTGATTCATATTGCAGTCTATCAGTTCCATGAACAATGAGATTGTATTATATCTATGGGACATGACTGGCTGAAAGGACACGGCATCTATACACGGATGCGTTTGTTCTCTTACACCATCCTTAGAACTCCAGTACTGGTCATATACTGACCCCTTTGTGCCTATTTTAAAAGGGATTGGCCAGATCAAAGCAAAAAACTAATTTTTTTTTAATTAGAATTGTGAAATAGTCAGAACTGTTGTGGTAGGTTGTCTCAAGTCATCCATTTCTTCAAGTGGTGGAAATTGCCAAAACTAGTCTAGTGCCTGGCTAGAACTAGGAACAATAACAAAGAGATGAAACATACCCATGTGGATGTAGCTGTTGTTTGAATTATGAGGAGTATTGGTTACGAATCTAAGATTGCAGCATACGCAGTAGGAAGGTAAAAGGCAAACTTCGTGCAACACATTCAGTATTGTTAAAAAACAAAACGGCCACCAAAATGCCCAGAGAGGCTTAAGGTGGCCCTCCCCTACAAAACAGGAGAGAAGTGAAGGATAGATCTATGCTTTTGTTTCTTTGAAGGTGAAAATGTTTGAAGTGTGAGAAAAAAAAACGTGTCCCGACAAGTCTGTGAACACTCCCAATTATCCAGGTTGCGGTGTAATCAGTAGTTAGTCAAATTCAACTGGACTTGCTGAAGACATTTTGCTACTTATGGATGCACATTATATGGCCAAAGTAATTGGACACCTGACCATCAAACCTGAGCAAATGGTCAAAAGTATGTTGACACCCCTTCAAATGATTAAGTTTGGGTGTCTCCAGTTAAGAGCTAAAATGTGCGCTTCTGGCCTAGTGGCAACCTCCTGGGGAAATTCCTTTCCTGTTCTCGCATTACTGTGCCCCTGTGTACAAAGGCAGCTCCATAAATACACGGCTTGATGGAAAAGAAATTGAGTGACCTGCGAAAAGGCTGGACCTCAACCCTACTGAGCACATTTGGGATGAACTGGAATGCCAATTGAGAGCCAGGTCTTCTAGTCCAACATCAGTATCTGACCTTAGAAACACTCGTTTGGCTGAATAGACCCACATTCCCACAAACACACTCCAAAACCTTTCTACAAGAGTGGAAGCTGTTATAGTCACAAAGGGGGAGCAAAATCTCTATGATAATGCTCATAGTTTTGGAATGGGATGTCCAACAAGCTTATATAGGGGTGATGGTCACTTTGGGCCAGTGGCATAGTGTAAATCCTGGGATATGTTCCCGATACTCATTAAAACCGAGGAAGCTCCTTGGATAAGTAGTGAAACATCTTTAACATTACAGGACTAGTCCAGTTAGATGTGGCTAACTACTAATAGCTATGATTATCGAAACACCCAAACAGTCACACGCCGATGAGATTGCTGCATAAAACAAACTTTATTCGACCTCAGCCATGCCACATGATTAAACCCGACCAGGGTGAAATACATTAGAGTTGATGGAATACAGGAATTGTTTTGCATGGCTGGAGTAAAAAAAAAATAGTTTTATGCAGTGATCTCATCGGTGTGCGTCTGTTTCAATAGTCTAAGGAGTGGAGTGAAAACGTGCTCTGGCAGGTACCCGACATCTCTCTCTGTTTTTCAAAAGCTGGACTCCGAGATGGAGTGGTGTTTTCTTTCCATACTACTTTCTATGTTCTGACAACTAATAGTGGCTGTTCACTTGTTTTAAGATTTTGTGCTGTTACAGCTTCTTTTTAGTATTAAGATGATATTTTTGTCCTTCCAGTTTTTTCTCCTTGTGGTCAGTGCCCCACCTCCTGACACATGGCAAAAGTGTATTCAACAACCTACACACCCACACACACTACCTTCGTGCTTGAGACATACTGTCAGAGGTTTCTTTCCCTGGTATAAAGGAATTGTAAAAATTTTAATATAAAAATGAATTAGAAATTTTACACAATCCATACAGTTTTTAGCATTAGTCTGGAGTGCTTTTAAGATAGTCTTTTTTAAGACACAAATTCCTATTGTATCAGCAGTGCTAGTCATTTAGATTGTAAGAAGTAGCAGTGACTAGCGCTCATGTTCTGAGAAGCTTCTGAAAGATAGTGAAAAACAAACCCTACATTTTAAAAACAGCTTCCTGCTCCTTCTGTGATACAATCTGCTACCCGTGTACCGCTACCCGTACTGCTACCTGTGTACCGACCTTTGGCTGTTGATTCACCGACTGCTCTCATCGTCTTCCACTTTATACCTGATACCTTTGGCTACTGACCTCGGCTTGATCTCTGACTACACTTCTGCCCTACTCCTATATTACTACCGTCTGCTTATATACCGAACTCGGCCTGTTTGACTACGACTTTGCCTGCTGTTTCAGCTACTGGACTCCGAGCATGATCCACATCGTGTCAAGATCTCAACTGCCTGTCTCCCCCTTCTACATGGGACCATAATGACATGAAAACATATTATTTAAAAAAAAAATATAAGTACTTGTAAAGGACACTAGGGCTGGCCTTAAGGTACAATTATTGCAATTAAATGATTTTTCCTCATTGCGCTTTAATGGGAAAATCTTTTTTGCAATACTTTTTCTTTAAGCTTCACATTTCAAAACTAAACAAAAACCTTCATAAAGGAACACTTCAAGCACCAGGTCTATCCTTCCCTTCCCCCCGAATATGCAGCAGGTAGTCAACTGAATACTGACCATTTCTCTTTAAATTACACAGTATATACTGGCAAGGGCTGTCTGCTATTCAGGAACCGCAATGAGCGACATAAAATAACATTAAAAGTTGAAAAATGAATTTATAAAAATCTAGCAAACTTAGTGGACTCAGAAATTAGAGTTGAGTTATTTAAAAATATATTTTTTCATTCACAAGCCTCAACTTTAACCCAAAAAGAAAAAGAAAAGGCCTCTATACAGATATAGACCCATCCCGGAAATTGGTCTTGCCTATCAGTACATTGATGAGTGTGGATTTCCCTTTTTTAGTGACCTCTTGTGCTTCCTTGACGATGTCCATTATCCGGTCTTCATCTTGCCGAGTGACCAGGAAACCTTTACCACCAAACCCTTCTGCCACCACATGGTAATCTACACATTAAAAACACATTAATTGGCTTTTTACAATAAAATAGGGCAAGATTACAAAAAGGCAACAGTGCCAGTACTATAGGACTTAAGATTAAAAATGTTTTACATTTAAAATATATAAAGCTGACCTATTACTGGTACAGGCAGAAAGCCCCCAAAAAACAGCTACATGAGGGATCGTAACTATAGGCAACCAACTATTACATTTTCCAAAAAGACTCTTACAGTAAAATTGTGAATAGCATTCCACAGGAACTAGTTCTAACCAACTCAGTAAAATGCTACAACAAAGGGCTGCATGTGTTTCTAAATGCAAACAATATAAAAGTTTTACTAATAGCTATAAGAAATAATATTCCAGAAGAATGATCCCGGGATAGCGTTTGGGGGATTATTTCCCAGTTTCCACATTTTATAGAAGTTGTACTGCCTGCAGGAGTCATTCACAGACCTAATAGACAGCCCGATGGCCAACAGTTTACTACCAGATCAGGCACAGGAGAAGACTATAGGTTGAACTGGATGGACATTGGTCTTTATTCAACCTTACATGCTATGTTACTTACCATTTGTTGATGATAGTAAATATCAAGAGAGCCTGAAAACCCAATCCTGTTCCGGTCAAATAAAAAAAATGGATTTTCATGAGTGGTTGATTAAACATATTACATCTATCTATCTATCTATCTATCTATCTATCTATCTATCTATCTATCTATCTATCTATCTATCTATCGTATATGGACAAGGCTTCCTGAATATACCTTTTGTAAAAGCAACATATTTTATAGGTTCTTTGGACACAGCAATTTAATGAGTCTTGTTTGCACTGCATGCCACGTGGCTAGCTACCAGAGGGAGTGATCTAAAATGAAAGATGTTCATTAACATATGGTATGCTCAGTGACAGCACAGCCGGAAAAGCCAAACACTTGTGGCCTAATGTGTCCTTCCTCAAGCGTGATATAATGTTTGAACACATGGACTCCATTCTGAATACATTTCTTGGGACTTGTAGTGTGAGGAAACTCAAAAAGTCTGTTAACTACTTTGTTATCCCTTCACTCAACTATTGCAACTCCCTCCTCATTGTACCTCTACCCCTTAAGTCTATCATCCACCTTACCAACTGTTTAGTGTCTGCAACCCATCTCTGTCAATCCCTCCACTGGCTTCCACTCTCCCAATTAATAAAATTCAAAATACTACTGATAAAACATACAAAGCCATCCACAACTCTGCCCTGAGCTACATCGCCAACCTTGTCTCAAAATATCACCCAAACAGTCCTCTCCAGTCCTCCCAAGACCTCCTGCTCTTTAGCCTCAGTGCCAATTCCTATGCTCATCCTTAGGACTTCTCCAGAGCCTCTCCCATCCTCTGAACTCCCTACCTTTATATTGTAAAGCAACGCACCAATTATTGGCACCATAAATCCTGTGTAATAATAATAATAATCATAATAAAGTTTGTTGTGTTGGAGCAGTCCAAAGTCACTTCCAATATGACAGGTACTATGCAAAGCCAAAATGAGAATTTGCAATGCCAGTTTAAACCTAAAGGCAGCATTACATGTGAAGTCTAAGATTAACACCGCTTCAGAAAATGTTTTCGCTTCTGGGGACTAGAGCAATTTTGCCATTTTTCCCATAGAATAATCCCATGACTGGCAGAATCTGTTTATCATGTGCAACAACAGCAGGTCATCTTTTAATTTTAAGGGTTCATGGATACTTAGAAATAAGTAGCAGTTACCTGGATCCAGCCAGCGCAAAGGTCCTCTTGGTCGAAGGATGTAGGCCGCACTTCCTACAAAATCTCCTCCATCTGCGACAATGATGCTGTCCTCTGCCATTGCTTCCTCCACCAAATGTAGCACTTTCAAGGGATTTAGGTGTCTCTCTGTCTTCTCTTCAGATTTTTCCCTGGAGAGAAAATTCAATTTTATATTGTGGAAATAAAGTAACTGTTTAGTTTTCAAAACTCGCTAAAGTATAGCTGGCTGAATGACTGGCTATTGATGTTTCCTATATACAATATACACTGAGTGGCCAGATTATTATGACCACCTGATGTTTGTAGGCAAATTATCTATAATTAGCTATAATTTCACGCTGAAGTTGCTAGAGGGCCAGACCATTATAAATAGGGAAGCAGGTTGTTTACCACGACAGTAGAAGTGATTTGTTTCTGAAGATACGGGTAAACAACACGATTTAACAGCCTTTGAGCGTGGGATGATTGTTGGCGCTCGGAGCCATGGAGCCAGTATCAGCAAAACAGCAGAATTCGTTAAATATTCAAGAGCAGCTGTTGTTAAAGTGTTTAAAGACTGGACTGTCAGCCGAAAATCTGGCTCTGAACATGCGAATTGTGGCCGTCAGCTACTAGTCAATGTTAGGGCAGAACGGAGAGTGGCAAGACTGGTACAAGATTACAGAAGGGCAACAGTGCAGTGTCAGATTCCTCGCATCACCTTTCAGCATCTTGTGGAGTCACGAGGCGGCCCAACGAAGTCATCTCGTGGAGTTATCTCGTGGCCCAACGAAGTACTGATGGGGTGGTCATAATAATCTGGCCACTCAGTGTATGGCCAAAACTTTGCATACCTGCTCTGATTTAAAGACTCCCAAACTCAGAAACAGCCAGGACACCAGCAAATTCAAAAGGAGGCCAATGATGAAAAGATATTTACCATATGGCCAAAAGTCTGTAGGCACCTGACCATTACATCTATATTTATTTGTTTTATTACATTTTTATTTATGTCCATATACGTATTATTTTTATTTATGTCCAAAAGTAAAGTGGAATTCCCCCTACAAATTGAGTTTAGGTGTTTCCATTGAAGGATATTGTTAATGATACAAGGTAACTACGCTATACAGCCAAACGTGTGCGAACAGCTGACAATCATACTTACATGAGCTTGTTGGGAATACCATTCCAAATTCAAGCGCATAAAATCGAGCATATGGCCATCAACCTCTACTGACAAACATTAGCATACAAAGACATTTTAGACAACTGTGAACTTCCAATCATGGGGATCAAGGCCCATTGCTGTTCCAGCATGATTGTGTCCCTGTGCACAAGACCAGCTCCATAAAGACAAGGTGTGATTATTTGGTATGGAGGAATGTACGTGGCCTGCCCATAGCCCTGACCTCAACCCTGTTGAATGTGTCTAGGATAAACTGGAATGCTGATTGGAAGCCAAGTCTTTTTATCCAATAACAGTACCTGACCTCATTGCTTTTTTGGTGGAAAAATAACACATTCCCACAGACACATGCCAAAATCTTGTAGAAAGCCAATCTTGGAATGGGATGACCAACAAGCTCATATAGGTGTGATGGTCAGGTGTCAAGAAACTTTTGGCCATATAGTGTACCTCAGGAAATGTCACAACCTTCAAAAAAACAGTTGATAAATAGAACGCATGAAAGGACAGCAGAACACTAAAATGGCTGGTCCACTGAGATTAGCACAGGACACATACTAAGAGAAGTTGACCAAATCTTAAATATGGATACATTACTCATTGGTTTTCTCTTTCTTTTCATCTCCTGACTTCAGGCCTTCTGTCCAATCTTTCGGACACGTGTATCCTTTCAATCCTTCCAAGAGACTGATGATGAAAGAACCTGCGTCTCCTGGAAACAAATAAAACCACGATGTAGTAAATACATTTGTGATCCCGATCATAAGTGAAGTGATACATTAAATAGCTAACTAGGAAAATTGGGTGGACTGCAGCAATGTGTGGATAAAAAGCTGAAGTAGGCTGTGCAGAGCCAGATCATCCATAAGACAACCTAGGCAGAGGCTTTATACTCCTGCAGTAAACCAGGGAGATGGTGAATTGGCCAAAGCTGTGCACCTCCCTGTTACTCTACAAGGGAGAGTGCACTTGAAGGCAATTGGTGTCTGGTGAGGAAGAGCCATTGCGAGTGGCTTCTGTAAAGGTGCCCATACACTGCTTGATTCTCGTACGAGAATTGCGGGAAATCCCGCGATCGTACGAGAATCGAGCAGTGTGAACGGAGACGTGCGACCGTTTCTACTGTACGGTCGCACGTCTTCCATCGAACCAGCATGTTCGAAAACCAGCCGGGAATCGTACGATTCTCGGCTGGTTAGAACGGTGCTCGGAAGACAAATGCCGAACGGGCCGGTGGGCGCACGCGCACACTGCCCGTTCAGCATTGCGGTCATCGGAAGCCCGCCCCTCAGGGGGGCGGGCTTGCGATGATCGAGAGTGCGATCTGCCTGTCCAAGATAGGCAGATCGTACGTTTTTTTAATCCCTGTACAACCATCGCAAGACTAAGGTCTTGCGATGGTTGTAGAGTGTATGGCCACCTTAAGCATGTTGCAATCCTTACCGATGTTAATCAAAGAAATTGAGAAGTTGCCTAGGGCCCCATTCTGTCTCTGGTGATCAATGTATGCATCACCAGGTTACTTTCAATCTTAATTGGAATGTGCCTTTAATACATCATCTTGTGGCTATAGTTCAGCATTATATACAGCAATCTTTTTGTGTTCAACCAGTTTTGAGATTTGCACAGCTTTGACACATAGCCCTGTCTCGTACTGCAGCAGATCTGATTTTTCCCTGCTGCAGTCAAGTAAAACTTACAGGCCTGCTAGCCTGTGACACGACAGTAAAAGGAGAAGCAGCACAAGGACGATAAGCTTATCACTGTCACTCTGTTCTCTCCGCCTTCAGTATGCTCTTTCTTAGCACATGAGGACTGTGGCACAAATGACTAGCTCTTTATACTGCTTCTCCCAGACTTAGCTCCACTGTACTGAGGATTACACGAGGCTGATAACAAGAGATTGAATAACATTCTGTTTATTAGTGATGACTATTAGGATGCCAGGTTCCTCATAGTTCTGTGGCAGCCAATAGCTTGTGTGACAAAACTTACCCTGGATAGCAACTGTTGGCTTCCAAAACATATCCGAGTTCTTCAAAAGCTGAGACTTGTCCCTATTCACTGCAATAATTTTACTGCGTCTGTTCAGGACACGGCCATAGGAAAGTCGAAAATCACACACAGTGCCTATAAGAACACACCAAACAAACATTAAAGAACATTTATTGTATGAAACAGCTACTGGCAACTTGCAAAGACAACCTATCCCAACACATATGACAGGCACTCTAGACATGCTGCATATTGTCCTATGTCAGCTCACAATTTAGGCTAAGGGCTGATTCACACCATCTGCGTTGGAGCTGCGCTGGCCGTTGTTTCCAGCGCAGCCCCAATGCAAGACAAGGCAATTTGCCTTGTCATGGATGGTGTGCATTCACACCATGGAAGGAACACGGTGGTGTGTGCTGAAAAAAAGTAAGGCATGCCTTCCTTTTTTTTCAATGCAGCGGGAGGCAACTCGGTACAACCGCTTCACACCATGCTGTGCCTGTAGACCTGAATGAAATGTCACTTGTCATATTTTAATAAAGTTCTAACCAAAAACAAAAAAAGTAAACAGTGCGATGCGCTGGGATCAGTGCTGCGGCACTGTGGTGGGGCACCGCACACCAGACGCTGCGCGATTAGCCTTGCATCTGGTTTGACTGGCCCCTAAAGTAGTACCAAAAGTAGTAGGATTCTTCTATGGGCATACCAGACAGGAAGCCAGGGGTGTGTTGGAAAATATTGCCCCAGGTAATACCAGGCTGATTTACTTCTGTGAAGTTCTGTTCATCTCCTGAATCTCCCACACATGCATTCATTGGTCAGTTTATTAGGAACAGCTACTTGTTAACTCAAAAAGTGAACTATGTGGGTGTAAACCAATATCTAAATCAAGCAAACATGGCTGAATGTCCAAGAAACGAGTGCGTGCACGGCCATGACCGTGCACATATGGGTGCCTCCTACATGACAACAAGGACATATAAAAAAACGAAACAATAAAGAAACATTGTTTTATAGTAAGTCTGGTCGCCATTAATACAAGATGGAAAAAAGACCTGAAGGTTTAATGTCGCTTTAAGTACCTTATACTTAAAATTAGGGATGCACCGATACTAGTATCGGTATCGGTGCCGATACCGAGTATTTGGGTGAGTACTCGTACTCGCCCAAATGCTCCAATACCTAGCACGAGTACTTCCTGTATCAGGAAGCAGGGCAGCTCATTACACGCTGCCCGGTTTCCTGATTGGCCAGGAAGCTAGAAAATCCGGAATCCGGGCGCTGTGTAATGACGCAGCGCCCGGCATTCTGATTGGCTGGGAAGCCGGCGTCATGCTCCTCGTCATCTCATGAATCATAATATTAAGAAAGTGACCTTAAAGCATTCGTTTGTATTGCTTTAGAAAAAATGTGACCTGTCCCTTTAAGAAAAAGTATCGGTAATTGGTATCTGCGAGTACTTGATCAAAAGTATCGGTACTCGTACTCGGTCTTAAAAAAGTGGTATCGGTGCATCCCTACTTAAAATTATTGTAAGTGCCAGAAAAGGTAATTGTAGAATCTGAAAACATGCTCCTCAAATAAGATTTTCATATGCTAAAGTCTTTAGTAGAGAGTAGTTGGAAAAACAGAACATATCCAACTCTTACATTGGCGCAAGTCAGTCACCACTCTACGCAGTGATTCCCCCCTCCTCTCTCCATTCTTTCAGCGATGACTGGAGGGACAGACAGGGGAGGGATGGACACAGCAGGCTCTAGAGAGGCAGAGCCAGTTGTCAATTAGGTAGCAGGGAGGCTCCGACAATATTGTTGGGATCCATCCCAGCTGCAGTGCAGCTTTGTGCTTTCAGCATATAGCGGGCAATAGCACACTGTATGCTGAGCTTTGCGTCACATGAGGACATTAGTAAATGTCATGTCCTCCAGCGACCATATAGAGAACTATGGCCAGAAAAGGTTGGGCCATAATTCTCTTTTAAATCTCTTTTACCAATAGGTATTTGGTGCTCAGTGACCCTCTTGAGGACTAAAGTTGGCAATAATTGAATGCTGACAGCAGGCGTAGGAGAGACAGTTGGAATGCATTAAGATTAATACACCTATCAGTCTATATTCTTACCTGCCAGTATGACAACATCTGCGTCCTTAAGGGCTTCCCTGCGGTTCTGTCGAATATGGATGGGGCTATTCTTTCCCAGCATGCCTCTGGCCATTCCTCCCAGGAAACATGGAATACCCAGAGATTCCAGAGCCTCTCTGAAAAATCAAACCGCATTCTGAGACCTGAATAGTTATACAAGATGACAAAAATATATCATCCCCACGGCCTCTTCAATAAAGTAGGCCAGGAAGCCCTACCTGAGGTTGTCTGCAGGTGTGGGAGGAAGAGTCACCTGACTGCCCAGGATGAACACAGGCTTCTTAGCTCGACTCACCAACTCCACACATTGCTGGATCTGTACATAGAGAGAAAACAACATATGAACAAATTAATTTTCAAAACTGGGTGGATGCATCCTTTAAAGTGTATGTCCAAACAAAAGTTTTTTTAGTATTTAATATAGTAGAGAAGGATGCGAAACCCTGTAGGGTTTTACTACTATCTGGGGCTGCCTTAGATAGATTTGCCCTTATTTACTGTCCTGCTGGCAACAGTTGAATCAGACAGGAAGTGAGGGATACAGACAGCAATTAAAAGCTTCGTAGATAGGCGATTCTGCATTCAAATGAACAAAACACACAAGGGCGCAAAACTTGAGGGTGGCTGTGACATAGATTTGCGCCAAATGTGCAAGAAAGCTTGTTAATAACTAAGCACTTACGTTTGGATGAAGGGACCAGACGAGGGGCAGCCCCGGAGGAGGATCGGGAGTTCCTAGATCGGTATTCTCGTCTTGTGGCTAAGGCGGTGTCTCAAGTGTTTAAATCGGCAGATTCCCGCCACTTGAGACACCGGCAGAGATTGAGAAAGAGATTATTCTCGAAACGCGTCGCTCCTCTGTGTTTACAGAACCCTTTTTATACTCCACTCCTGTTACCCGCTGGCCTGCACAGCCTCCTTTTAACAGTTTTCTCCCGTCCATTACCATCGGACGTTCTGCACGTTCTACACACCGCCACAACCGGACACTCAGGGACAGGACTGCTTTCCGAGCTAAACACTGTCTGGTCAGCTGCATGACAGATGTTCATAGTTACATAGTTACATAGTATTTGAGGTTGAATAAAGACATTAGTCCATCAAGTCCAACCTATTAGGATCTCATTCTAGGAGTACCGGTACCCCTGTATATTACGGTCCCTTAAGAAATCGTCCAAAAGTTTCTTGAACAATTCCACATTCTTTGCTGAAATCACCGCTCCCCAGCCGTGACAGGCTAGCACTTACAGCGCATTAGCCACAAGACGAGAAAACCGATCTAGGAACTCCCGATCCTCCTCCGGGGCTGCCCCTCGTCTGGTCCCTTCATCCAAACGTAAGTGCTTAATTATTAACAAGCTTTCTTGCACATTTGGCACAAATCTATGTCACAGCCACCCTCAAGTTTTGCGCCCTTCTGTGTTTTGTTCATTCCAGTCCGCACAGGTCCTCCTCCTCAGGGCCGGCCTTAGGGGTGTGCGAGCCGTGCGGCCGCACAGGGCGCCTAAAGGCCTAAGGCCGGCCCTGCTCCTCCTGTTTCTAAGGGTAGCATACTGTTCATTCAGGGCCCCCTCCCGAGAGCGCTGTTTGTCGTTTTTTTTTTGGATTCTGCATTCAAACATTCTCATTAACGTAGGCAGTTTATTGAGCTTCAAATACAAGAGATGGCCACTAGATGGCGCTTGCAGTCAAGTTCCACATAAAAGGAAAATGGAACGCTGCGCCAATTGTTCAGAGTATTTATTGCCTCATGTAATAAAGTCCTTCCAAAAGCCTCTTCATCGAGACTTTAAAAAATTGTTGGAGGAGAAGGGCACAAGAGGACTCATAATTACAGATTGACTTTGTGTGAACAGCATTCCATCGGGGGAAAAAACTGTGTGCCTAATAAAGTTTCAGCTCTTGTACTGCTTTACTGCTTAGTAAAAAAAAAAAAAGCTTTTGTCATCAGGATATTGAGCAAGGTAAAAAAAATCTTTCTAACTGGACAACGGAGAGAAGTAAAACCTGACGGGGGTTTTAATCCTTCCCAAAACTATCCAAAATTAAAAAGAAAAGCTTTGATTGGACTTTAAAAGGAAACTTTTGCTTATTGAAAAATGGAGGCTGCCTTCACCCATTGTTTCTGAAAATGCCAGCTACCTGGCAGTTATGCTGGTCATTTGATTGTAACACTTTGTGCAACTGCCCCGGCACAAGCATGCAAGCAAGTAAAGCCAGAACTCGGTAAGGATCTCTTCACACCAGTCCGCTCTGGTGCATTGTGTTTAATATGCATTAGGTTGGCATTACCATGTGTTGTATAGGCAGTCCATACATGTGAACATCCTGCACCTTTTTTTCCCCCGACACAGCACACCACAGTAATGCGTTACCGTGGGTTTTTGGGAGGGTTCAGAGGGGTGCCATTCAAAATGAATAGCACCGCAACAAACCATTGTGGAAAATTCTGGAAAACAGCACTTTACAGAAACAAATATCAGCAATGACAGCCCCCACACCTCCCTAGGAAGGTTTCCCTTATAAAACAGGATAGAAATTCTAAAACAAATTCAGCAGACCTGAGCTGGGGTGGCGTAGGGGATGGAAACGGGAAGAGGTGAGGTGTCCCTCTGCTCCCAGGCTCCCGCAAATAAATTATTCAGGTGATTCTGCAAGTACCTAAAGTAAATAAAAAAAGAGGAACACAGTAACATTTGAAATGTACATAGAGCAGAGACTGAACAAAGTGCAATATTTCATTTTATTGATGAAATGTGATTGGCTGGTAAGCACTCACAGGGGTACAGAGGATGGTGTACTGGAAAAAATGGTCGGATCTCTGCACCCGGAAGCTGTAGGTGTTATGTACAGTCCCATCTGTACAAATGAATGACAGACTGAGGCTGTACTTTAAAAACACTGCTTCGAGTATGTACATACATAAAGATATAGATGTAGGTCCCTGGATGCAGACACTCTGTGTTCAGGAGCATACATGTGAACCTGTACACACTCAGACCAGGGTTTATCAGTACAGCTGCTGTCTGTCATCTATTTGTACAGATCGGCTGTACACAAAACCTGCGACTCCCGGGTACAGAGATCCGACTGTTTTTAACAGTACATATTTGCCCATGTGAATGAACTGTAATAAGAGTTACTATACTCCGTGTTCTATTTTTTGTCTTACAGAGAAAGTCCAATAGTATGAACTTTCGTAAGGTAAAAGACCTTGATAGGAATAAAATGAGAAAACAAAAATTAATTATCAAAGAGACGCACAACTTTTTAATTTTCACAAAAGCAACGGGCAGACTTTAGGTGACCTCTGACCCATCAACCACCCCCCACAGGCGTGTATTGCCCCCAACAATTAATGGATCTGAGCATGTACTGTAAAAAGCTCTCTGTTACTGGATTTACCATCTTCAGCGGATGTTTCCTTTGCTGCATCAAACCAAGGAAGTGTGACCTCATTAGGCTCAGTAAGAGCAGAGCGGCGCACCGTGAGGATCCAGTAATAAATCACACCGTGAAATAATAGGCAGAGAATTACTGGAAGACCATTGACATAGTACACACCGCTCCTCGCCCACGTCTCCTAACACAGTCCTTTCAATTCATGAACGATAACTTACCAATTGATTATTTTCCCGACAATTCCTTTAGGGGCCCCTTTGGGTGCCAGTTCTTTCTGGATCAAATGGTATGGATACAAAATATCAATAGGAAATTCCACAAACACAGGCCCTACAAAACAACATTAGGAAGAAAAGCCAAAGTTAGAGATTATTGGAGAATGAGTCAGACCCGAGTACTGAAGGCAAATTAATGTTCCCATCTAAGTTAAAAGAAGTTGTGTGCCGACTGTACCAAGGCTGGAGAAAATAACAGCGATCAAGAGGGGTTTTCTAACCTACCTTACTGATTTATTCTCCAAAAGGGCTTGTTTAGGGCTGCCATAGCCTGCTACATAGACACCGCCTGGTCAATCGATTGTAAGATTGTAGTCTAATGCAGGGCCAGTGCTGCCACAAGGCAAACTAGGCAGCCACCTAGGGCACACTGCTGCCTAGGGTGCAGCCTCGACAACTCACCCCCCATGGTGCCCCCCCGTGTCGATTTCAAATTGCAAAAGCCAATAGCAGGCTGGCTATTGCTATTGTACCCACTCATGAGCAGAGGAGCGGAACTGAGAGACAACTTTTTCTCTCAGGTCCGCTACTCTGCTCATTGGGTGGGGTTTTGATAGCCAGTCGGCTATTGGCTATTTCAAATTAAAATAGCCAATAGCAGTCCGGCTGCTTACACCCACCTGTCACTTGTGGAATCTAGCCTGCAGGTGAATGAAGCCAAGTGGGGGGAGGGATTGGGGTTGCGCCGTGGGAGGGGAGCAAGTAGCTGGTCTTGCCTAGGGCGCAAAATAGTCTAGCACCGGCCCTGGTCTAATGTCTATGGGCACCTTAAGCTGTTTATGTGAAACCATTTTGACAATTTAACTAAAGTGTAGGGTTGTCTTCACGTATATATTTACATACTACATAAGCCCAATGAAACATTCAGTTTAACTCCACTAAATACATTTTAGCAACCTCCAAAACAAAAGCTTTTCTCCTTCCAGCATCCAGTAAGGACTTGTTGTCTGTGTGGAAGCAGCGGTTTCTCTGCAGATGTTCAACCCGACCCTTGCTGAGTCAGGGCTAGAGCTCTCCAATCCGCAAAGCTCATGCTATAGCTCTTGTTCAGCAGGTGACATTTCGGACATCTGCAGAGAGACCACTGCTTCCATGTATAGAGCAAGGGTCCTACAGCATGCTGGCAGGGGACAGGCTTTTCTACGCAGGATGTGACTGCTTTCTCCAGAAAACAAATAAGACTTTGCACGCTTTTTGTTATAAAGCGCCTAAAATATATTTAAACTGAAAGTTTACTTGGGCTTTAAAAAGGTAGGTGTAATGTCTTTGTATATATGTATGTATTCCATTTTTATGCTCCAGACTATGAAATAAGTAAACCTCTCATGTGAGAAATATGGTGAGAGCTATTGCCGACCTCCTCTTAGTAATGTTAGTTGACTGGCTAACACACTAGCTTTGGAGTCACTGACCCCTGGTGGGTATGTAGGTCAGGTTTCAGGTCAGTGATTCAAAGTATTGAAGCCGGAGGGTCAGCATAACAACCAAGAAACTGTCATTTTCAGAAGGAGGGCTCAAGAATAGCAGCCTCCAATGTTTCTCATACTGCATATTTTTTTAATATGAGACACCTAGGAATTGTATAAGTAGTCCTAACAGCACTCCTCACCCGGTGTTCCAGACTGGGCCTCAGCCAGCGCTCGGCGCAGTATAGGCACTATGTCTCGTATGGTGCGGACAGAGGCACAGAATTTACATATAGGCTTGAACAGCGACATCTGGTCAATATCCTGCAGAGCTCCTCTCCCCTATTGGGCAAAGAACAAAACACAACATCACAATTATATGATACTGTACATGTACACTAAAGGGTCACTCTACCTAATTGGGTACAATAGATACTGGTGGGTTGAGTCGCCCACATTTCTTATACTGAGACCCCCCCAAGCTGGAGATGCTGAAATTACTTGTCACACTCATGGAGTCCTATTTGCAGCAGTTTTGTTGAAGTTTAAATTCTGCTGCTGTTGCATTATGAAAAGAATAAATCAAACAATGGTCACTGTAAAACCCATCTGTAATGGTTAAAGCAATGAGGGCGAAGTGGGCAACTCAAATGTGGCGACCACAACAACAGAATGAGGTGATTACATCCCCTGGCATCTATCTTAATGGAAATATATGCTTTGGGTCATGGATGTGTTCAAAATTGAGAATAGCTACACAAGCCATTTTGTAATTTAACACCATTGACCTTTCAATCTGTAGCCAGCTTGGAATTTTCTATAGCTGACAACAAAATGTAATTACTCTCTTTGTAACGTTGGTAACAATAACAAGTTTGTAGACAGGATTTTCCAGATCTAATTTCTCCTCTAATTCCTCTTGAAATGAGCTTACTGCTTCTCTCAGAGGTCTCCACAGAGCTTGAGATCAAACTTGTATGCAGGGCAGTCCCTACCATATTCGCCACCCACGCTGTAATCCACGGGGTGCTGTTAGTTGCCTATGCTGCTGTGCCCCCCCAGTGAGATGCCGCCTGAGGCTACTGCCTTAGACTGCCTCATTATGAGATCGCCCCTGCTTGTATGGAATATGTTTTGCCAATGTGTTTTGGTTTACTGGTGCAGTGAGATTTTCCCTTTTGGTGATAAATATGACACATTTGGGATAGACATGGCATGCGAGTTTCTTTATTGTAACACTAGGACTATGGTAGGGACCTTTGGCAGCTTTCTATTGCTGTGCGAGTCCTTTTTTGCAAGACTCTCCCTCAACTGCTGTCCTGGGGAGAAAACCAAGCACAATTTACCCAATGGGAACGCATCAATAAAAACCTAACCAGAGGTCCTCATCTTGCAAAACTAAAAAGAAGCTCTGACTGGAGTTCTGTTTGAAAATACAAGGTCTTGGGAGGGCTCTAGGATAAGGGTGGCAGTGATGGCTTTATTTATGGAGTTTGATTTTCTTGACAAAAAGACCTTCTAATGCAAAAACACCCCAAAAACAACATATGCTTCACGTGGATTCACACATTTTTAAAAACAAATTAGCATAAAGAGCACCGGTCATGACTGAGTTTAAGCAAGAATCTGAATATTCAGACAAATGGTTAGAACTGTGCAGTATGTCTTATGAAATATTAACGTTACCTATCTAGTTTTATTCACCCTGTCTGAGTGCCGGTTCACACCATATGCCGCAGGGCTGAACAAGAACAATAAAAAAACTTGAATCCCCTTCAACGCTAAGCAGCATGGATAGGGTAACCCCCCCCCCAAAAGGCCACTGTATTCTGACAGTAGCAAGTGTGCCGCTGTCAGAATACCTGAATAGCGACTGCATCTGACTGGCTACAATCACTTTCTAGCTAACAATATTCAGATAGTGGGGCCACATACTGCTCGAATTTTGGCTGACAGCACAAATTCAAGCACTGTATGGCCAGCTTAAGTCTGACACTTTAGTATGTGTTGAGGGGTCAGAGGTCATATAGTTGATGCCATGCCAACACTTTGAACGTAGAAACCGGGAAACATGTCAGGGTCAGACCAGTAGCAGTTATCATTTTAATTTTTTTTATATGATTCTAATTCTAACACATCTTACTACTCTGGCATTGTATGAGGAAGCCTAATAAAAAAAACAAAAAGGTTATATAGATTTCCTCACCCATACTGTTTCAATCCAGAGGCTGCCGGGAGCAGTACTATGCAGGACTGTCAGTTATACTCACATATAATGCAGTATTCTAATATCACAGAATAGAATAGTTGCATTTACTTACCTGCAATAGAGTGGCAGCTGCTCCACCAATCAGCAATAGCGGGGATTCTGCCATCTGAGCATTCTTAATGGCTGTTACAGTATTGGTTAACCCCGGACCAGCTGTCACTGCAGCCACACCAACAGTACCTGCACCACAACGACCAGTCATTAGTACAGAATAGTGGAATCTACTGACACTACTGGAGGAAACATTTCATAGGCATCCTATACTGATGGTTGCTAACAAGGGTTGAACTGACTCCATAGGTGATCAGGAAAAGCCTAGTTCATGCTTGCAATATCCAAAGTTTGGCCTTAGCTATCTAAACTAAATACAACTAGATAGACACAGTAATGGGGTGTTGCCATTTCATGGAGTTTTATAAGCAGCGGGAAGACACTTCAGCCCATCTTTACCTTTGGTGTTCATCTAAAATCGAAATAGTGTGAAGGTTTCCTCATAAAGCAGGGGTGTAATAAAGAATTTATATTTTGCTTTTAACCCCAATAAAGGGCCGCGGCCAATATTTTCCACTCATATCGTTTGTATAGTTTTTATTTATTCTGTCATATATTTTAATGTATTTATAGGTTGTGGGTGCGGTGGGGTTCTACAATCCCATGACAGTTATAGGCGTGACTCCTTGAGGCACAGGCATGTAGGGATTTGTAGTTAAAGCACAGCTAGAGTTGCTCTCCCCAGCCTTAATAAATGCCTAAATATGCATTACATTTCTGCAATACATGTACATTTCCACATGTTTTATCCCCTTAAAATGTATTTCCACTTTGGCAGTCAAATTGGGATAACACCTATTTTATATTTGTTACAGGTTCCCATTCACATAGCATAATCTAAGAAGAAAAAAAATGCTTCTTGCAGTTTCAATTGCTTTTACTTGGGTTAGAGTTTTAAACATTTCTTCTTCATTCTATGTCTTTGAAATGTTAGGAGGGGCTGTAAGGGGTCTGAGGTGGCTAGCCTATTGTATGTTTATGAAGCTTATCAGAAAAACACAATCCTCAAAGACTTTCCATTGGGACAGATTACTGTGATGGTGCTCAGAAAAGCCTGGAATCAACCATTTTGCCCGATTTAACAAAACATCTAAAATGTAAGAAATTTTTAAAAGTAATTTTTCAGTATGCTGTGTGAACAGGAACACATAATTAGCATACGGAGGTGGTTTTCTTTAAATTTGACTGCGAAAGTGGAAATACACTTTAAGGACCCTGCAATTACAGAAAAATATCTGTCGATCTGTCAGGAATGCACTCAACTCTTGAGCCCCATTGTGGGCTGACAGCACACAGCATTTTTCTAGACTGAGTGGTGTCAGCCCTGCCCTGTGTCTTTTTCTACACTACTCAGCCTCTCCCATTCTCAGATCTCCACAATATAAAGGCTATTTAATTCTAAACTGTGAGATAAGAACTAGGAGGGCTCTGTGAGATAACACAGGAAGTGTGCAGAGAACACAGGACAGCTCTGAATTTTCTACTACATCAACAGTTTTTTCCACTTATTAAACAGATATAACAAATCACTTCCAAATGGTATATTAAACAGTCCAAAGGGGAGCAATAAAAGTAATTGTTGGGGTTTGCATACCCTTTAAAGCCTAACATCAGCCACATCTTTGGATAGAATAGGATATTTTAAAATTCCGGGGACCCTTTGGGGAGATTTTCTATATCTTCCTGTCTTCATGAAGAAATACATGATGTGGGGGGGAGGGAGGGGGGGGATTGGTTGTTACTAGGACAGGAAGGTACAGACAGCAATAAAAACTTTGTCAGACATCCTAACCCTGCCTTACTCTGGTAAAAATATGTTTTTGTTTGTGACCCCCATTAGAGAGACTTTCCATCACTTCATGTCAAAACATGTCTCCCCTAAATCTAAACAAACTTTTTGGCTGGCATTGGGCTTTAAAGAAGTCCAGGATTTATTAAAATTAACCCTACCCCTGTCCCTGCAGACATTTTTTCCCCCGGGCTCCAGCAGTCTAAGGACCACCAACGTCATCATGTCTAATACAAGTCTATTAGGCATAAAGACACGGTGGGACATATAGACAGAGCGCAGGGGGACATGGGGAGCGCTCACTGCTGCAGGACCGAGGATTAGGTGAGTATATCGTCTTTATTTTCGCCAAAACGAGCATTTAACCCTTGCAGTGGGGCTGCCCACTAATTAATTTTAATAAGTCCTGGAGTAACAGATTTCAGTTACCTGAGAGTCTGGCCACTGCATCAGCAGCAAAGACAGCAGTGGCTTCATGCCTGGTGTCCACCACTCTTATTCCCAGCTTTTCACAGGCCACCAGGATGGGTGAGATATGACCGCCGACTAGTGTGAAAACGTATCGCACTCCGTGGGATTGTAGGACCTTGGCGACCACCTCTCCTCCATGGCGAGGACTCTGAGTTTCCACCTGAAATAGGCAACAGAGCATACAAGCATTGGAAACTTATCATACGTGTCCATTATACCACAGAGGGAATACGTTGATGCCTTTTAGGAAGTGATATTTTATTATATTTCCCGCACTGCAAGGATTGACTGCTCCTATGTGTCTGGGGGGGGGGTGCTTTAAAGCACTTATACTTACCGGATCCCCACTCCCGCGGCATTTGGCTCTCACCTCCAGCTTGTGGACTGTCCATCAGCATCCTCACATATAATTCTGGTCTATGGACCTTGCATTAGATATGATGACGTCATTGGCCCTCCAAACGCTGGAGCAGAGGGGGAGAAGAGGCTGCGGGTGCTGATCTTGCAGGCAGCAGGAGTGGGGATCATGTAAGTAAAACTGCTTTAAAGAATGCCCCTGGACATTAAGGAGCAGTTAACCCATGCGGTGCAGGGGTAGTCCCATTGCAGGGGGAGTTTTTTTTTCAGACATAGGCTTTAACTGTCCACATGTACTGATCTGACAGTCAAGTGCTACCTAAAGACACCCCTTTCATCTTCTCTTTCTGGCAGGGAAGAATAGGTATTGTTTCTGGACATCCAACAAGCATGTTCAGAAGGAGGGATCAACAACAGCATCCCACTTACTTCTCTCAGGACAGGTCTCCTTTAACATATTAATTCCAGGCTTGACCTCCATTTACTTATTTGGGTAGTCACCAGTATTCAGCCTGTCCCGTCTGTCTACTCACATGATCCCTACTCATTCTCTAAAGACTTTCACTTCCCCTTTGCTTTGAACTACTGTATGCAAGGTTCACTATGTTTCAATAATTGGGTTTTCCCCTTTTAGTTAAAAAAAAAAGTAGACTGGCATCACTGCAAAGGTCCAGAGCAGTTGAGTTCATCAGGTGAAGAGAAAGTCAGTACAGAATGGCTAGTCTATGAAGACTGCACCACCAAAGGTAATATTGCCCCATATATGTTTTTCTTTAAAAACTATGGGCAGACCTCTCAGCAACAAAAGGGGGTACCAAGATATCTGCCCTTCCCAGTTGGAATAATATAAAGTGGGCCAAGCCATAACCATTCCAGCTGGATGTGAATAATACACTGTCTGGCCAAAAAAAGAAGTCACACACTCTAATATTTTGTTGGATTGCCTTAAGCTTTGATTACGGCAAACATTCGCCATGGCATCGTTTACAATGTCACATCATTTATTTCTGCCCAAAGTTGCATTAATGTTTCACCAAGATCTTATAGTGATGATGGGAGAGTCGGACCACTGTGTAAAGTCTTCTCCAGCACATTGCATGAGGTTAAGGTCTGGACTCTGCGGTGGCCAATCCAATTTTTCATGCTCCCAGAACCACTCTTTCACAATTTAAACCCGATGAATCCTGGCATTGTCATCTTGGAATATGCCCAATGTGCCATCAGGGAAGAATACACCCATTGATGGAAAAACCTGATCATTCCGTATACTCAGGTAGACAGCTGACCTCATTTTTTTGGGCACATAACATTGCTGAGCCTGCACCTATTATTCAATGGAAGGCTCTGACCTATTTGCTTAGAAATCCAAGAGCTGACTTTATTTTTGGTCAGGCAATGTATTTGGTGTTCAAAGCATTGCCTTACCTATTGAGAAACAGGAACAGCAGCTAAACAACTGGAAACGTCTTCTGATATATTGGAAAATCCCCCATGTACATTAACAACTTCCAATGTATGAACACTGGTCAATGTCCAACAGATAACCCCTGTGCAGCCCAACCACTTCAAGCAATCATTGGAGAATCACTATCGCAAATGATATTATATTTTGACAACTGCATGCAATAAATACTTATATAGTTAAGAACATTATGGTATTTTTCTTTTATTTCACATGATTTTTTTTTCAATGTTCTCCACATTTATTTGCAGACCAAGCTGTCCAGTAAAAGTGATAGTGACAGAGGGTTGAGACAAACTATAGCACTGCCAGGGTGCTGGATCAGTTACAGCAACAGTACATTTCTAAAAACAAAAAGCAGAACAAAAGCAAAAACTTAATTTTTCTTTTTAAGTTTGGATAGAGTAATGGAAAGTTATAACCCCTGCCAGTATACTGTATATTTTACCATCTGTGTCCCGTTAGGTACATTTCCCCTCATGTCCCATTATACTGTAAATCCACAACAGGAAGTGAGATCAAATCCAAAGTGATGGGAATTCCTTGTTGTCACCAGAACCAGTGTCCCCGTTAAAAGTTTGCCTCTGTACTCCTGTTCTAGCGACAACTAAAAATGTGGAATTTTCTTTTACTTTTCAAAATACAGTTTTCACAAGAGCAATCCATTAAGTAGAGAGCTTTATTGTTTGGCCCCTTCACTATTAACCAACCGGTTCTCTTGTCTCTATGTCATATCAGGAAGATAAAGCATTTCATGTGGAAAAACTAGTCCAACATCACACGCCTACTGACAGCAATCCTCCTCCATTCATAATTATATACGAATATACCACACCAACAGACGTTCAGTGGCTCTGCCGGTGTTGTTAAACATAAATGGCGGCACCCTTCTAGTACAACTGTTAGGCCTCATTCACACTGCTACAGATCCGTGCGGCGTGCACGGCCGTATCGGGCCGCTCCCGGGAAGGACAGATGCTGCGTGTGATTGTACCCAGCAGCCTGTTCTTCTCTATGGGAGTACGCCGTCGTACGCTCACCGGAACTGCACATCCGTGTGGGTGTCCATGCTCAGACGCAGACAGTATCCATCCTGTCTGCGTAGAAGTACGAACACCCGCACCTGCGCGGATCTGTACGGGACGGCTCTTAGCAGTGTGAATGAGGCCTTAAGCTCCATTCACACCTGAGCGGCTGTCCACGTATATACGTTTGTACGGATACGAGCAGAGCCGCTCTGAACAGGGAATGCAATGCACTTCACACCATTGCGGGGGCAGCTCAGTACGAATCCGCGCGGCCTTAGACACAATGAATGCGGCCTTAGACACAATGCAGCAGATCTATTATAGTAGGACATGTAAAACACATGGCTGTCATTATATAGGATAGGGCACGGGTAGACAACCTCAGCACTGCAGCTGTTGTTGAACTACGTCCCATGATGCTTTGCAAGACTGACAGCCACAGGCATGACTCCCAGAGGCAGAGACGTGATGGAATTTGTAGTTTCACCACAGCTGGGATGCCAAGGTCGCCTTCCCCTAGAATAATGTTTAGCACGGATGAAAGAAACTTTATTTTTGTCGATTTTTGTTTTGTTTTGTTATTTTGTTCATATAAGTAAATGAGCGGATAATTATGCTTCAAGATTACAGTCTAGAAAGCCATAAAAAGGTCATGTTTGTTATATTTATTCCTATGGCCTTTCATGAAATCAATACAACCAGAAATGATTCTTCAAAGTGTTGCAGATATAAGAAGAGTCGGTGTTGCCTTATAGTAACCAATCTGATTCAAATCTATACAGTATAGTATAGTATACTATACAGGACAGTATAGTGTACAGGGAAATGTTATTTATGACATTAGGGCTCATTCACACATAAGGGCTGATTTATAACTCTTCCGTCCAGCGTATAGTTGGGTGAATGCCATTTGCATGGAGCTACCGCTATTAGGTGGCATGGAGGAGCATAGGAAATTTCTATGCTCCTCAGAGCCATCTGGTGACAGTAGTGCCATGCGAAAGGCATTCGCTCAGCTGTGCACTGGACAAAAGAGTTATAAATCAGTCCCTATTTGTGGTGACCATTCTTCAGCGTAGTACAAAGCAAATCACCGCCAAGACACCCAGGAAACAATTGTTTTCTTTGTGTCCTGTAGACCCAGCAACTCTCATAGGTTAGATTTAGGACCGCACTACACAGAGGAGCCTTGGGGCTTTCACATATTCTGCAGAAGACGTGTAGCTAAAACCTGTTTTTTAACCTTAGCAGTTAGACAGGTTTTTTTTTGCATGCTGGCTGGTGCGTTTGCTGGGAAACTTTTTTGCTGTTGTATTGTATAAAGCCCTTCCACGTGCACCTTGCTTGAAAGCTGGTCATGAGTTGATGAGTGCGTTTGCCATTTGTTTTGCTTGACTGATTTGGTGCAGTGACGCACGGGGGGTGTCAGCTGCCGTGATGTGCGGGGTCCGTTGTGTGTCCCCGTGCCTTTAAGGAGGTTGGGCTGCCTCCTGGCAAACCTGCACCCAATTTTATTTTTTGCTACATGTGCTCCAAGATGGAGACTCTCACAGGTTAGAGTTAGGACCGCACTACACAGAGGAGCCTTGACGAGGCAGTGCGGCTTTCACATATTCTGCAGAAGACATGTATCTAAAACCTGTTTTTAACCTTAGCGGTTAGACAGGTTTTTTTGGCATGCTGGCTGGAGAGTGTGCTGGAAAACTTTCTATTGGTGTACTGTTGACACGGCAACAGTGACTTGAGTGTGTTGCAGGACAATGCATTGTCAATCACTGCACTGCAATCAGCGGCAATGCATTCACTTTAATGGAAGTCTCATTTTGTGATGTAAACAGTGTGATGTGCTCCAATGCATCCATCGCACACTGATTGTGTGTTTGTGAATGTCTCACCTTGTGGAAGAGCTGGTAGATGACCCCCAGGCGATATCCCAGCCACAGCAGTACAATGGTCACTAAAGATCCGAGGACTGTGCCCGCAGCATGTATGCAGCAACAACTTTGGTCCATTGAAACCTCTTCAAAGTGCGCTGCAATACACAGAGAATACATATAAAAGGACTGTACTAATTAATAAAAATATGGGAGCCTGAGTGGACAGGCTTTTCTTTGCTTTGAGTGGGTTTTGCATTCCCTTAAAAGTCTATGGGAATGCTATAACAGGCTTTAAGTAGGCAAATGCACGTCAGAAGGAGGTCAACTGCAGGTCAAAAGCAGGCCAGAAGGAGATCAACTGTACATCAAAAGCAGGTCAGAAAGAGGTTAAAAGCAGGTCAGAAGGAGGTCAACTGCATGTCAAAAGCAGGTCAACTGCTCGTCAAAAGCAGGTCAGAAAGAGGTCAAAACCAGGTCAGAAGGAGGTCAAAAGCAGGTCAGAAGGAGGTCAACTGCTGGTCAGAAGCAGGTCAACTGCTGGTCAACTGCAGGTCAGAAAGAGGTCAACTGCAGGTCAGAAAGAGGTCAACTGCACGTCAAAAGCATGTCAGAAAGAGGTCAAAAGCAGGTCAACTGCACATCAAAAGCAGGTCAGAATAAGGTAAACTGCGGGTCAAAATCAAGCCTAACGCAGGTCAAATGCTCCCGTCAATTCATTTTGGATGATCTCAGAAGCATCTCAAACTGATGCCCTCACACACAGCTCAAAGACTCATCAAAGCCGTGATGTTGTTTTGGGGGGTGCTGACTGGGAATTATGGTGGGGGTTAATTTGTCGCCGGGAAGGGGGGTGAGCACCAGACCGAGCTGTAAGCGGCATCTCGCTCAGCTCCTGGAAACCACTGACGTCAGTGAGGTGGGTGGGGAGCTGCACAGAGCCTCACCGATTGCCAACAACTCTTAGCAACCTGGGACGCCATGGCTGCCTCCACCACCACCCAGCCACCGGGTAGTTGTAGTTCCACAAAAGCCAAAGGGCCGGAGTTGCCCACCCCTGACCTAACCCTTCCTCACTAAAAAAAAAACAAACAGTAATGTAAATCCTACATCAATGATACTTTCGTTTTTTTGTTTTTCTTTAAACAAGACACTTGTTTTAATCTCTTTTCATCCATTGTTGCCCCACAGCGCTGCTGATCTTCTGTTGTCTCTTTGCAGCCACTTCCTGTCTACATAGACAAATCTCCACTCGGCTCCAACAAGGACCCCCCGAGGCTTGAAGTTTTTGTGGATTTGGAAGCAATTTAAGCAACCAGAGATCCCTATTGAAAGAAATGTCCACAAATATTACTTTGTTTTTGAACACCCGCCACTGAAACACAGCGGAGTAATATGTATCCACGAACTGGCGGAAGTGTTTATAAACATCTTTCCCACCCCTAAGATTACCGAGTTAGTTCTTTCTAAACATTGTATAAAAGAGGAATGGTGGTGATGTTGTAAATCTTCTTTTGCAGAATAAAGAAGGACTCTGGGAATTTAAAAAAAGAACCCTTGCAGTGGGGCTACCTCGGCACTGAAAGGGTTAAGTGCTCATTTTGTCTAGGGGAGGGGGGGGATCAAATAAAATCAGATATATTCACCTGAAATCTTACTAATGGAGCCCCGAATGGAACCAGACAAACATTCTAAAGCAAGGGTGGGCAACTCCGGCCCTCCAGCTCCAACTAGAAGTCTCATGAGGTATTGCAAGACTGACAGTTGCCGGCATGACTCCCAGAGGCAGAGGCATTATGGGATCTGTAGTTATAGCACAGCTGGAGGGGCGGCGTTGCCCACCCCTGTTCTAAGGCTTCGTTCACACGGGGTGATTTGGCCTTCCTGCGGCAAGAACCTAAGGCTTCCTGCGGCAGAATTCCCAGGCCGTGGGAACAGATCACTGTCGCTGGATCCTGCATCCAATGACAATCATCCATTCCAAACGGCATGTGTGATCGTATCACATAGGATTACATGCGGACTACAGCTTACTATAGATGCAGCGGCCGTCACCCAGTCATTGACATGAACGGGCACAGCGGCCACATCTGAACGGGGACACCTGGCATTCCTGACGCAGGTATCCGTAAGTCCCTGCCACAGGGATCCCAAATCACCCCGTGTGAAGGAAGCCTGACCTTTACCCATTCTATCCACAAAGAAGAAAAACAAAAGTTTGGGGTAAAAACGATAAAGTGCCATCTCGGTATTAGGGCACGTTCGCACCAGCCTGCATGGTAAAACGCATGCACACCGATGTGCATTGCGTAGGGGCGCTGTGCAGCAATGCCCAAGGCCTCATTCACACTGCTAAGAGCTGGCCCGTACAGATCCATGCGGCGTGCACGGGCGTATCGGCCGCTCCCGGTAAGGACAGGTGCTGCGTGCGATTGTACGCAGCAGCCTGTTCTTCTCTATGGGAGTACGCCGCCGTACGCTCCCCCGACCTGCACATCCGTGCGGGGGTCCATGCTCAGACGCAGACAGGATCCATCCTGTCTGCGTAGAAGTACGAACACCCGCACCTGCGCGGATCTGTACGGGCCGGCTCTTAGCAGTGTGAATGAGGCCTTAGGCTCCATTCACACCTGAGCAGCTGTCCACGTATATACGTTTGTACGGATACAAGCAGAGCCGCTCTGAACAGGGAATGCAATGCACTTCACACCATTGCGGGGGCAGCTCAGTACGAATCCGCGCGGCCCCCAAAATAGTGCAAGCACGATAATCCAGCGGATTCTGCGCGTTCGCGGCTATTTAATAGCTGCAAACGAGCGGCATCCATGCGGATTTCAAAGTATTAGCGATTTCATCCCCCGCGGAAAACCGTGCGCGAGCCGCAAAAGCTATGTGTGAAATCATTACAACGCTTTACACTGTTTACATTTTTTTTACTTTATTGAAGTGCCAGATTGACACATCATTCAAGTCTCTGTACCGTGGTGTGGTGTCGTGCAGCGCCTCTCCGTTTGTAGGCAGCGCAACACTGCCTACAAACGCAGACCGGCTGTATTTTTGTTACAGCGTACCGCACCTCAATCCCGTTATGATTTCAGCAATCGTTTTCTGTGTCCCCTTACGTTCAGCCTGCGTTGATCCACTCAGACCATCGGATCCGGTGTGGACAAGCCCCTTAGAAGTGCGCCTTTTCTGCTACAGGTTCGGATCCAACGCAGGTTACTGGAATGAGAGAAACTTTCTGCTGCCTCTTACACTTCAGGAAGGACGGAGATCGGAGGTGATGGGTTCAAAGTACCATCGAAGCAGGTGATCATTCACCATGCACAGAGCACAGCAAGGAAATGCAGCAGCTTAGAGGACACTGTACACAGCTCCGTCCATAACAATTATAGAGAGAGAGAGAGAGAGAGAACACAATGCATTGTCAGCACAGACAGACCACCAGCAACTTACACAGACCAGATCCAGAGCGAGTCCCTATCCAGTCCAGGAGTCAGATCCCTGCTGCTGCTTTCTGCATGGAGGAAGTCACAGACACTTCCCCCCACCCCACTCCACACTGATCTTTACCCAGAGATCCTCTCTGGCAGCCCGGTCACATGACCCAGCAGCTGTCACGCTGACAGTGGCTCCTGTTGTCACTGCAGGCTCAGCACTGGAGATAATGAGAGTTATTGTCGTTGTATAAAAACATGCAATGAAATGTCAATTTGCATTCCCTGAATGGTGCATTCAAGTCCCAGCCTACCCTCTCCTGTTATAACATCAGCATTGTAATAGGAATACATAGTAGAGTTGTTTTTGATAATGCAATCAAAGCTTACTTGAAAGAATCCCTTTTATGTAGTGAGTGCTGCCTTCCGTCTGCCCATCACTTTCATCAACTTCCTGGATTCCCAGTGTGCTTTGCATCTCTTTCCCTGCTGCTTGATGTGATACAATCTCCATTTCTCAAGACTACATATCCCATCATGCATTACTTCCAGCAAGCAACGATAATGTTACATTGTTCAGACGTTGAGTTGTAGTTCAGATGGCAGGAGGGGTGACATATTCGCAGGGCTGAGTGCAATTGTATCAGTGCATTGAGGAAGTGATTCCTATGGGCATCTTTAACTAGTAGAACAAAAATGGGGAATTGGGGCTTTAAAGGCACCAGAGTGACACAACCAATAAATGACAACTTAGTTCATAAAAAAACAATATTTTATTAGATATACATAACATTTAAAAGGCCATTAAGTTAAAATGAAGAAAATTACATCCTAAGATGCAGATTACCTCCACATACCACTCTATATATTCATGATATAAGCATATTGATTCACACAGAAGTAGGGTTGCCACCTTTCCAGGATTCACCCGGACAGTTCAGGTTTTGAATGCTCTGTTCGGGTTTCATGGCAGCAGAAATCTGGACACAAGATGTCAGGCAGACAGGAGCAACCATAATTAAGATAGGGGCTACTGGCCCCCCACTGAAAATAGTCTCACCTGTAATATTTGCATATGAATGGGTGGCGCTATATAGATATGAATAAGCCACGACTAATTTTCCCCAAAAATTGCCTGCGCGTCTCTAGAGTGTTCGGGCTTCGCTTGAAGAAAAGGTGGCAACCCTACACAGAAGACATGATTACATAATTACTATGAATCCAATTTGTAACTTCAAAATCAATATTTCCCAGTAAAGAAAAGAAATTGGGTAACAGTACCCTAATTATTGCCTCGTAGCATATTCAAAGACATGAAAAACATCAACAAAATTCATTGAGAAATATTCTCCAATTCAGTGTGTGAAACAGCCTTATCTGAAGATGATATAAGAGTAGTTAAAGTGACATTAAAGTCAAAATCTTTTCCCCTCCCCCCAATGTTAATTAAAGCACTTTGCTTAAATGATGTTTCTTAATCCGATCTTCCTCTTATTTCTTGTACTTTTCATCTGTCCCTCTAGCGCTGCGTCGTGTCTCCGATCCAGCGCTGACTCCTCTGTGCTTGCTGGCACTTCCTGTCCCATGGTGTCTGCATGCGGGTGCACGCCGTCCATAGACTTACCTTGTGTCTCTCCTCGCGTCGCAGCCGAAAATCTGAACTGCGCATGCGCCCGCCCCAAGATGCTTTGCGGCCACCCGAGAATTTTCAGATTTTCGGACGGGAGCACGCGAGGTAGACACAGGTAAGTATTAACCCTTTTCAAAGCGGGTTTTTTTTTTTTACACTTTTTGCATAGATCTACTGCTTGCTAGCCTTATATATATATATGCGAAAACACCGGAGGGTTTAATAACCCTTTAATATTAGATTATTAACAATTGAAGTTATACACTTCTAGATGGATCTGGTTATTAGGAGCGGGATAGAACGTATGGAAATTCAATATAGATATATATCTTCATTTTTAGCTTTTGACTATAGATAACCTTTAAATACCTAACACAATTATACAATAATCAGACCTATATGTGCAATGATAATAATAATGATAATAATAATACTCATCATCATCAAATTAAAGTGACACTAAACTCAGGAGTTAAATCTTAAAAATACATTTAGTGGCTTCCATACTGCAGAGGGTTACGTCACCCTCCCTTATCATGAGATCCCAGGGAATACTGAGAAGCCCCAATCTTCTGAAGAGACACTCCAGCACAGTGCAGACTTCCTTTTCTTACCAAATTTTTCCCCCATAGGCTTTTTAATTTTAATGCAACACTTTTTTTGGAGGGGATTTTCCTATTTACTGCAAGGTCCGCTTCCACAACCATTTAAACATTGATTTTCATTTAAAACTGCTCTGTCCCAGGGTAAAAGGCACTGCTGAATGACTTCCTTGCGTTGTCACCCTATTAAAGGAAGTGGAAATCTAAAAGACCTAGTGGCAGGATCAACAGGTAAAAAAACCAATGTTACAGGGGGACTCAGAAAAAGAAAAACTGCTTTGTTAATATTCATGACAGGCCGCATCACATACAGCAGTGGTGGTCAAATTTAGTGATATGGGGACCTTAGTCACAGCCCCTGACATCCCCCAAAGTCGCCTCTAGGACTTCTCTAGAGTCTCTCCCATCCTCTGGAACTCTTTACCCCAACCTGTCCGTCTATCTCCCACCCTGACTGTCTTTAGGCATTCCCTGAAGACTCTTCTCTTCAGGGAAGCTTATCCCACCTTAACCTAACCACTGAACCATCACATTCTCAAACAATTCATCCCCACACAGCTACCTCCTCATGTATCATTTCCCCCTCCTCTTTCAGATTGTAAGCCCTTAGGGGCAGGGCCCTCCTTACCATCTTGTCTTGAATTGTATTGTGATTGTAATGTCTTCCTTACATTGTAAAGCGCTGCGCAAACTGTTGGCGCTATATAAATACTATGTAATAATAATAAGTGGAGGAGGTGAAATGGAAAAGGTGAAGGAAGAAGGAGAGGAGGAGTTGGAGGTGAGATGTAGGAGAAGGTAAAGGATGAAGGGGAGGAGGTGAAATGGAGCAGGTGAAGGAAGAAGAGAAGGAGGGAAAAGTGGAGGAAGATGTGGATGCCACCAACATTGGCTAGGTCAAAGGTCTCCCATAGACATAGCATTGTTACCTGATACAGTTTCTTGTCTCCAGTGTATGGGTGCATATATCTTATATGTCTTCCTTATCTATGTCCACATTGTCAGATAGAGTAATATGAGGGTTATTGTCTTATTATTGCTGGAGAACTTTGAACAGTGTTGTCCCTGGACTTGAACAGCATGTTGTACATATGTGAACTTTGGCTGGAGACAGAACTTGTTCTATAGAAATAACCTCAACACACATGACATTAGCAACACAATCGTTTGCAGTGAAAAGCAGTGACATTTTAGGGGGTCCTCCATGCCTCTAAATCACGTACACGTCTGCATAAAAATAATAGGACATGTGTGACCACAGATACTCACCAGCATGTCAACATTTTTCAGGTCTGAGCCAGGAAAAAAACCTCTCCTCCCATCATGCAATCATGCAGCAGAAGATTCCTCTGATTTAGCTGAATGTAAATGGTGCTGTCAATCTACGCACACAGACACAAACCTTTTTTTAGGGTTTGAGGTTCTGCGCTTCCTCTCCCATTGTTAGGAAAGTGTACCACAAAGAATCAGTATTGATTAAACCTAAACTGCTTTAAACCGCCACTACTTTCCTTTATATGTACTAGCTTTTTAAATATAACACATTTAGAGGTTGGATGAAAGGTTTGGGGTAGCATAACACATATAAAGGTATGATACATATATGTACACTTCTGCAGTTTGTTATTAAGAAAGAGATTATTCCATATCGGCCTTTCAGTTTGTAGGTAGTTGTATGTTTAAAGTTGGCCATACACTGTTATATTTTCTTTGTTCAACCTGCGGGAAATATAAGATTCCTCCATCCACGTTCAAATCTCCTACTATTTCCATTGCAGTCTGACAGCAGCCACTATCACAATACCCAAATAAAGCTTGCAGCTGATTGGTTGCATGCTCCTCTTGGCCTAAAATTTTCCAACCAGCTTCTTTGATCTTCTAATTGAGGGATACCAGCCAGAAGGGTCCGATGGCAACACCCGCTGTTCTGATTATGGCCAGTTCTTTAAGAACTGGTTGAAACTCACATAGTGTATGACCAACTTAAGTCTGACTTCACACCATTGTGTTGTACATGTTAGTGCCATATTGAATGGAATCCCAACACACTAAAGGAACGCATCTGCAATGCAGCACATCACAGCACACAGTAACGCACTACAGTGTGTTACCTAAAAAGGTTACAGTGCACTTTGGGGTGTGCTGAGGGGCATAACAAGCCCAGTCAAAATAATTAGCACTACTATATCTGGCGTTCCCCAATAAGGATTAGGTGCAGTTTCTTGTACACTGGGGTGCATGGGAAGCTCATAACAAATGATGCAACGTAATGTACAGGTGTGAAACCAGCCATTGCGGTCAGGGCTGAGGGCCCAGTCACACCATCAAGATTGCGTTACAGTGCGTTCGGCCTCTGGAACGCAACCCGGCCAGCTCACTTTGTTACTCAATGACACCGCAGCCACTCCCCCCGCCCACGTTGCGATTGACGGCACCCAAACGCGTGGCACATTGAGTTCAATGCACCACCACGCCCCCTCCCGCCCCAAAACAAAGTGAGCCGGCCAGATTGCGTTCCAGAGGCCAAACGCATTGGAACGCACTCTTGATGGTGTGACAGGGCCCTGAATATATTCAAACACTTTCTTAACAGCTATCTATATGAAAGCGACTCCCACTGCCAGTATCAGCAGGAGGCTTTGCAGAGAGGCGTGACCTTGCGGCAGGGGGAACTGGCAGCTGGTTGGATCTGACACTCCCAGGACTCTCAATTTCCTATTAACGTGCTGGCGTTGTAAATAAAAATTAAGTAGCAAGTATTCAAAAAAATTGGAGAGAAGGATGTATTATTTTTGCTCTATTAATAATATCTGGTGCCAAGGGTTCCGTACGTCATAAGCCAATCAACCTACAAGAAGGTACGTCAGAAAACTGGAGCAGTAAAAATAGTTTCACAAAGCACAAATACAAACTGTCAGGCTCACCTCTATATGTGACTCAGTCATTTCATGTTTTAATCATATTTCTTATTTGAAGAACATAATATCTTGAGGCTCAAAGAAACAAATGACATTCCTTTACCAGACAGAGACATGACCTTTATTAAGTAAAAAAAAAATGTATGTACTGTATATATACACCTGACAGTGATAAAACTACAACAAATGCATTAAATATGATCCAAAGCCATGATGGCTGCTGGGTAATCGTATATCTCCATATAACCGACATTCAGTTCTTCTGGGTAGGGTAGATGTTCTTGTACAACTTTGACCACGCATGCTGGGACAGGCTTGCAGCTATGCTTGTCCAGAAAACCGTGAGCCCACACTACAAACGCTCTGTATGACATGCGGCGCAGCTTGCTGGAAAACGGCACAAGCATTATAATCAGCATAAAAAGAATACATTGTAATAATAAGAATTAAAAGAAAAACAAATCTCTATATACAAGTTGTAAATTATTCACTCTATACTCAATTTTTAGGACAGCTACTCAGTGGCGTAACCAGA